GTTGTGTGTGTGTTCTGTGTGGGTGTGTGTGTGTTTGTTATTGTGTGTGTCGTGTGTGTGTGTGTGTGTGTGTGTGTGTGTGTGTGTGTGTGCGTGTGCGTGTGCGTGTGCGTTTGCGTGCGTGTGTGTGCGTGTGTGTGTGTGCATGTGTGTTTGTGTGGACGAAGGGGAAAGAGTCTACACCTAATATTGGCTCATACCTTACCTCCTTCTGGATGTTCTCCATGATAACGTACAGCTCCTCCTCGGCTGGCATCGCGACCTTGTTCCAGCGACCAGCCTTTTGCAGGACCCGGAGAGCGTGCTGGTGGCGACCCCGCACGATCAGCCAGCGAGGGGATTCGTCGAGGAACCTGGTATCGTAGGAAATGGGCGCTCACCATTTTAAAACCAAAAAGGAGATTCTGTTGCAAATAACTACTCTCGCGGAGGAAATGTACACCCATTTGAAACCGTAAAGGAGATTCTGTGCGAATAACTCCTCTCGTGTAAGAAAATATACACTCGATAATAAAACCGTGAAGGAAAAATTCTGTTGCAAATAGCTCTCACGTAGGAAATGTCCATCTATATCAAATTCCGAAAAGCGAATCGATTATAGAAAATAACTCTGCTCGCGTAGGGAAATATTATACCATAATAAATACCGAAAAAAATAGATATAAAACAAAGAACAATTTTAAAAAGCCAGAGAAAAAGAGCAAAAACCTCTCACCACAAAAACGGGAAGGAACAGGAACATCGGCAGATGAGAGAGTGAACATGAGCTGCCTCCCAGTCCCGAAGGAGGTGCTCGAAGCCCCCAGGAGGGGAGTGGTAGGAGGCGCGTTAGGACTTTGGTCTTGGTGTGAGTGTTCCTGATCGTGGCGGCCAGGTACAGGATCAGGCACTCTCCCTGTCCGTCGGCTCCCGGAGAGCGGGGCTCGCCACGGTTCCATGGTCTGTGGATGGTGTGTGTGTGTGTTGTGTGAAGGAGGTGAAAAAAAATGGTGGTGTGTGTGTGGGATGTCAGCTGAGGCGAAAAGAGTCTGCGTGTGTGTGTGTGTGTGTGTGTGTGTTTGTGTGAGGTGAGTTATGTGTTCAGCGAAAGAGGGAGAAAGGGTGTAGTGAGTTTTGTGTGTTGTGGAGTCGTTGTGTGTCAGGGATAGGTGGTAAAGAGTGGTTCGGTTGCATGGTGATGGGTGGAAAAAAAGTGTTGTGTGTGTGTGGGGTCTATGGTGCTTGTTGCGGAGGGGATCAAAGGAGTCTCGGTAGTCAGCGAGGGAGAAGGTGTGATTCAGGAGGCAGGAAATGGTGTGTGGCATTGTGTGTGGTATGGTGGCGTAGTTGCGTGTGTGTGTGTTTGTGTGTGTGAGTCGTGAGTTTGAGTGTGTGGTTTGTGGTATGTGTTTCTGGTAGTTTGGCATATGTTGGTTGCAAAAAGTTAGTTAGTTCAAGAGGCGTCCAGGACGACTACATCGACGAAAAAACTAAGAGCACCCGATTGTATACGCCACCGAAATGCACCATAACTCCATCTAAATAAAGCACAAGCCAAAGTTGGAGTCCAGGAAGTCAGCAGTCACAGGGACATCATTCAGCGCCGACAACCGGGTTGGTACAAGCAAACTGGGATCGTCGCTACTTGAGTAGTGATCAAACTTCTCTACTTTAGTAATTACTTACGCGTACCTTCAAATAATCACTTTAAAATTCATTCTCACTCTTCCTGTGTCTTTCTCTCGCTGATAAAGATAATTATTCCCAAATTACTTGTCAGGTTTTATCAGCGTTTATGTTGTCTTGTACCTCTTCATCAAACAAATAACTTCCATTGAGCTTCAGTATCCTTTCTTCGCCGGTATTATCAATGTTTGTTGGCAAATGTGTTATCTTTATCCTAGTATGTAGACTGAATAGTATCACCTGCACAGTATTTCATCAAGTGTTATCTAAACTTTTATATTTTTTGGTGGAATTATTCCTTTTATTTTCGACCTGGTGTATCAGTGAGAGTAGCCAGCAGAGTAAGAATGGTTGTATTATAGTATTTAAAGCTGATAGGAGCCTAGTGTGGAAGCTAATTTTACAAAATATGTAATAGCATGATACTAATGTTAGTGAGGAACAAAAGTTGATGAAAAAAATAAAGAATAATGACTCGTTTGACACCATATATTATAAGTTATAGCGTATGCCAATTCACAAGAGCGAACCCTATATTACCATCAACACAGATAATTTCCACGTCAAATTTACATAGCGGTGATAAACAATCTCAAGAAACCATTGAGTACCGTATGCCACGCTTAATAAACAGTGAATTGTGTGATGATTGCCTCAGGAACCAGCCCAGAAATGTCGACGTGTTTTGATGACTTGCTCGACGGCTCGGGCATCAGAAAATGGAACCTCAGCTGCCTACATTCCTCTCACCGTCTGTTACTGATAAATGTATATGACTCCATGATGCTGTACACGTTATTAGTATTCTGGACATCCCTTGCCACTTGTTATTAGGCATTTTGGATTGTATGGATGGAATGTCTAACGAATGCTGTCCATAATAGTGTGTTGCTGCCCCTGCACAGTTGGAGCCGCGTTCCACTTGATAGACCTCCTGGTGGCGTCTGCACTTGCGAGTGGCCGAGATGTTTAAAGGTCGCCTGTACGAGGAAAAACTATCACAAATATACCGGGTAATTGTTATTTATCACTAGTACCTTACAGTAGTTGCATTTTATATTGCAAGGAATCTTAGGAAGCGCAATTAATAGAATAAAATGATTAATAATGAATAATTAATGAAATAATAAATAAAAAAATAAATAAAATTAAATGAAATAAGTGATAATAATAATTAGGAAATAATACAGTACTGCAAACTCGAACTTACTTAATGCTTCGTTCTTAATAAATGACATTTATAATCCTACAATATACAAAATACAGTAACTACCTGTACTAAAGTTCTATAATCCCGCTCTCAGGTGTAGTTAATTATCCCAAGATGTGACGAGCCACAGAATGGACGCACACAGAACAGACGGGCCCCTGCACTGTGCATATGGACTTCGACAACACTACCTATACTAACACTATTACTTCCGAGGTAGTATCATGTGCTTGATTATGCTAGAGGGCAATGTTGTTTTGAGATTTATTCTAATTGGATTATTATTCTCGTATGTTTGAATTTGTAGTGTCATAACGGTTATCGCTCTAATAATGAGATATGATGGATGCTAAGTGCGATCTGTCATGTTTATATTGTTGGCAAAATGATTACTACAGTCGTATAAAAGGCTGGTATTATATTATAAGATGGATGGTTAATTACATAATAATGATTGCTCATTAAAACCAGGTGTGTCGGTAGAAACGACGTAACCTCATTCAGAATGAGGAGAGAATATTATCCCATAAGAAAGTGATCCAGAACATAATAAGTATTGGGGTGTCAGGAGGGGAAAAAATATTTTTAGAGAAAGCTAGCCTTCGAAACTGTGTAAGATTCCCTACAATTAGGCTGTTACTATGTTCAACCTCTTACGGTGTGATGACTTTCCTTCGTAAACTAATCAATATTCTTTTTCAGTTAACACTCGATGGCAGCCGTTCTGTGTGTTCCTAGTGAAAGAACCGACCTGTTAGGCTACTTTCTCGCAGAGAATGGCCGTGCTTTGTGGCAGTCCCTTCAGTGGCGGATTGACAGGTCATACGTGGCCTTTTTCTTTCCTTTCCAAAACGTTGGTGAATGATCATGTAATCTTACGCTAGTTGCTGCTCTTTTCTCGTTGATAGTTTTGTAAGCTTGTTGGGTGGTGTGTGTGGTGTGGTATGTCGTGTTGTTGTTGTTGTGTGATGGTAGTTTGTGTGTGTGTGTTGAATATTAATAATAATATATAAAAAAGGTATATATATTATATATATATGTGAATATCATATATATGCCATGGTACTGTATGATATATATATATATGTAAACAATATTACAATTTATATATATATATATATTAATAGTGATAATAGTAATTATAGTCAGGTAAGTAGGTGTAGTAATATAAATAGGTGTGGTATATATTTATATATATGTAGTGTTATAATTATGTCATCAGTATCATAGTAAAACAAGAGTATATTATATATATATAGTTATTGTAGGATTAAAATAATATATTATATATACAACAGTATATAGTAATATATGTATTATACATAACATTAAAGATATAAATATATATATATATATATTATATGGTGTGGTTGTGTGTGTGTGTATGTGTGGTGTGTGTGTGTCGTGTGGTGTGGGTGTGTGTGTGGGGTGTGGGGTGTGTGTTGTGTGTGTGTTGTGTGTGTGCGTTGTGTTGTGTGTTGTTGGTGTTATGTATAGGTGGGTGGGTTGTGTGATGGCATGATATATCATGTTCACAGCACGCATCACACACACCACACACACACATATTATATATATTATATTATAATATAGTCTATTTATATAAGTAGTAGGGTGGAATAAAATGGTAATTGTGTTAATTATTATAGATATGTTTGGTGTGGTCGGGTGTTTATTATATATATATAAAATATATATAGTATAGATGTAGATGAATTAGATAAATGGTATATATAATATATATATTATTAGTTGCATGGTGATTGAACATATATGATCAAGTATATAGTAATATAAGGTAGATAGTATAATATATATAGTAAAAAGGATTAGAATTATTATATATATATAGGTGAATACATAGTATAGTAATAGGTATGAAGTGAAATTAGGTATAGTATAGGTAGTCAAATATAGATAAAAGATGGACATAATAGAATCAATATAATAATAGTGATATATATATAATAGGGTAAATCTAATGAAGTGACTAGGCCGCCGGTCCGTACTTAAGTGAGGTAGAATTAAATGGCTTAGTTTTTCTGGTGTCCAGGATTATCGTTGGACAATGCAGTGTTCGGTGACCCTGGAGAATTCTGGTTTAAGTGGCGAGGTTGCGGAGGCCCCCCAATCCGCACACTGCATGAATGCAGATATCTTATCCAGAGTAAGTGAAATGTAAAAAAAAAAATGCAATAATTCCGAACGAGATTTCCGGCGCGCTTTTCCGTAGATCCGCCGGTGTCGTGTTGCCAAATGTTTCCACGGCACGGACGAGAAGAACATGTTCTCTCATACCTAAGATCTCGAGCAAGCCTCACCAATCAACGGCTTCCAATACACTATGACCCAAATAACCCTCAACCTAATCTAACTTGACTTAAACCTAACATGGAATGTCATACCAAGTAAGTCCCGAATTTTCTCAGCCCGTAAACGCGTAACACCAAAATCTCCGTAACCTAGATACGATAAACCCGAGTCGAACCTAACCCAACCCTAAGTTCCTAGGGTACCTAACCCAACGTAACCCTAACGCTATAGCCTAACCTAACCCTTTGCCAACCGTAGAAAAGGAGAAACCGGTATCTAGCCTGACTATACTCACTAAACCTAACTAACCTAACCCTAACGACATATTCTCAGCCTTACTGCTCTCAGTAAAAAGTGAGGAAAGGTGTCGCTCGTGCAGCGGAGGGAAGAACAAGAACAAAACCTAACAAACCAACCGACATGCCTATACGATAACCTAACCTAACCACCTAACCAGGACTCCTAATTTAATCCAACCTAACCTAACAAGTCTAACCTTAAGATCCTTAAACCTAACCAACCTACTAACCTAAACAACACAACCTAACCAACCTAACCAACGGAACCGTAACACATACCACCGTCACCGACAACCAACCAACCAGCTCACCAAGGAACAACACAACAACCTGAAGACATAGATCGGAACAACCAAACGGGAGACTAAGCCTAACGCATAACACACCATCCACATAAAGGACCTGTCAAACTACCCCAACCAGCCGGACCCTCCATCCGCCATGAATACCAGGGAGGCACCGACCGACCCCTTCCTCAGACCCCCATAACCTGCCGCCAAGGCCAGCTAATAGGTGTCACAGCCACCCACCACCAAGCTCGCATGTACAGGAGGCGAACCAGCCACCAAACCACCCAACCCCCCCCCTCCCTCCCTCACACCTCCCCACCATCCACGCACAAAGTCATGCTCCCAGCAGCGATTCAGGAATGGGAAAAACGCGCACTGTCCCACGGTGTAAGAGACGGCCCCCACCGAGACGCCACAAACCCCCCGCGCGTCCCCCGGTAGTCAAGCCCGAGTGAGACCCCACCCCCACCCCAACCGCGCTCCTGTCCCCGGCTCGTCACGCGCCAAGGGAAGAAACACCCGCGCCCCCTCCCCTCCTCCCTGTCGGTCAAGTCAAGGAGGCAGGAAAACACCGGACACCACTGTCCACGCGCTGCCCTCAGCCGAACGCCCCACAGCCCCGGGCCCGCAGGCGCCAACAATATAGTCTACCGGTGTCACGGCAAGACTAAAACCCGGGATCTCAGGTCTGTCAGGACGGGCCCAGACGACCTAGGTCCTCAAAGATCGCAGCCTGCAGGGAGGAGGTAACCCACCTCTCCGCCTCAGGCAGCTGATCAATAAGACCTATATAGGATCTAGGTCGGTGCAGGAGCCGAGAAAGAGCCTCCGCGTGTCAGGGAGGGGAAAAAGCGTGTGGTGTCAGGAGGGGAGAAAGTGCGGGTGTCAGGAGGGAAATGTTGTGTCAGAGGGAAAATGGTGGGTCAGGAGGGGAGGAAAGGTGTGGTGTCAGGAGGGGAAAAGCGTGTGTGTCAGGAGGGAAAATGTGTGTCCTGTCCAGGAGGGAACAAAGTGTGTGTCAGGAGTGGAAAAAAATGTCTGGTGTCAGGCACGGGGAAAAAGGGTCCTCGTGTCAGGAAGGGAGAAAGGTGTTCTGGTGTCAACGGAGGGGGACAAAAGGTTCAAGAAACCTAAACTAAGGTATGTACCTAACCTAGAGCCAACCGTAAAGCGGGTGAAGCGGCAAGACAAACCCGGCTATCCACACGCGCAACAAAGTCAGAGACCGCTAAACACATAAGACGGAATTTACTAACAACGAACCGAATAAGCTAACCACAGTGAGCATAAAAACCAATTAAACCTTATCAACCACCGTTAGATCCTTAACCTAGAGTAGCGCCGAGCAAAGAGTTTGCATGCTTATATACACCTACTATGGATCCAATGTCCGTTTGACTGCTGATAAATCCCTCTAACGTCTGAACACACTTCAACCACTGACACCTTAACGTCCTAACACCTAAACCTTAACGCTGCCTAACCTCGACACACCTCAGAGCCTAAACACACCTTAAAACCACACCCACTAACTCGAGGACCTAACCTAACCTAAACCGTGACCTGAAACCAACCCCCCACACCCCACCCGACCCCTCGCCGCATGAGATGGATAACCACCTCTAACGCCACAGTACTATGTACCTCTGTGGTGGTTATTTTGCGCCGTTATAACGGAAGCACACCAGGTGGCCGAACTGTTCCTCCCCTAGTATATTATTCAGTGAAAGGCCAATCCCAATGATGTGTTCAATCGCGGAGACCGGAGGTATCCGAGACAACACAAATGGTTCTCGTTGTGGTACGAAGAAGGGCCACAACTGCCAAATCCTCAATTAAGAACGCTATAAACCCCAAGATGTATCCCCACTTAACCCCAAAATTCCATCTCCTTAACGCACAGATGGTGTTTTCCCAAGCTCTTTACGGAGGCACGTGACATTATATCTGGTGTTTACACCGTCTGTCTGACCAAATCTACAAAACCAGTTCTTACACCTGGCTCTGCTAAAGAACGTTAACCAGTAATTAGCTTCTAAAGTGAACATGTATAGTATATAATATCCAACCAAAATTTCATTATTAGAGTTTAAGCTATAATATAATTATAAACATTATGCAAAAAACTGCAACAATATTAGTACTAATAACGTTTTATCTATACTTTTATGTATAAGTTATTATTAATCATATTACCCAAACACGCCTGACCTCCAACTACAATAAGCAATGACGTTCAATAAAAAACAAAAACATTAAACTCAACCTTTATACTACAACTCCAGCTAATGGCTTCATTTCCCGCTAACCTAAAACTAAGCGACGAAAAACTACCTAAAAAACTAGAACTAATCAACCTTACGTCACCCATTCATACGAACGACCACTCACACAGCGTGTATCCTGCGTGCACTGACGTTGGGGACATGACCCCGAGCAGGAAGCGGACGACCAGGATGGAGTAGATGTCCGGTAGCCAGTACAGGCGTTGGCCAGGAGGGCGTAGGACACAGTGCCCACGGAGAGCATCACCTTGCGACCGTACCTGAAATTATGTAATATACATATAATACACACACACACACACACACACATATAATATACACATACATATATGTGATATATATATTATATATAATATATAATATATATATATATATATATATATATATATATAATTGTGTTGTGTGTGTGTGTGTGTGTGTGTGTGTGTGTGTGTGTGTGTGTGTGTGTGTTGTGTGTGTGTGTATGTGTGTGTGTTTGTGTGTGTGTAAATAAATGTATGTGTGTATATATATACATATATATATATATATATATAATAATAATATATATATATATATATATATACATATACATATGCATGTACATGTATACATGCAAATATAATATATATATATATATAATATATTATATATATATATATAATATATATATACATATATACATAGGTATGTACATGTAATACATATATATATATATATATATATATATATATATATATATATATAGGTAGTATATATATATACATATATATATATATGTATATATATACATATGTATGTATATGTATACATGCATATATATATATAATATTATATAATATTATACACATATAATATATATTATATATATAGTATAATAATCATATAATTACATGTATATACATATATACCACATACATTCACACACACACACACACACACACACACACACCACACACACACACACACACACACACACACACACACATAAGTACAAACATATAGAAAGAGAGCACTAGTAATAGTAATGATATCAACCACCACGTTTTGGAAAAGGAGAGAAAAAAGCACGTATACCTGTCCGACATCCAGCCACTGAAGGGAGCTGCTACAAGGGCACCGAAGAAAGTTATGCTCTTAAAAGTCGGTCTTAGAAAACTACGGCTGCACACGAGCTTAAACTGAAAGAATATTAGATTAGTTTACGAAGGAAAGTCTATCACGCGTAGAAGAGAAATTGACAAATAGTACACAGCCTATTGCTAGGGATTTACATAGTGTTTTTGAATTTGATGTTTCTATTTTTTTATGTACTGGATACTTTTTAGGAGATAAATTCTCCTATCTTGAATGAGTTTAGTGTTCTGTGGTTTAATGGGCCCATTTTTATTATGTAATTAAATCCATCTAAAATAATACAGCTTAAGTAAACGATTGTAGAATCATTTGCAAGAAAATAAAAAATGACAGATCGATAGCATCAGTCATATCTATTATATACGATAACCGTTATACGAAAATCAAAGCGTAAAAGATTAATAATAACTAATTAGATAAATCTCTTCAAAGAAATATTACCTTAGCGTAATCAAAGTACATGTACATACCTCGGAAGTAATAGTCTTAGTATAGGTGGTGTTGTCGAAGTCCCATTCAGTGCAGGGTCGCTCGTCGGTGCTGCCATCTGTGGTCGTCACTGTATAACTACACTGGGATCTTAGATGGTAAGGTTAGTTAATTTTTGTATATATAAGGTTATAATGTCAGTTTGGTAAGACAAAAGCATTGATAGTGCTGTTGCGTTACTGTAATTTTACTTATTATTATAATTATTATTATTGGTATTATAATGTTTACATAAGATACTGATATAAAAATGCATGCGTAGGTACTAAGTGATAAATAACAATTACCCGGTCATATTTGTGATAGTTTCCTCGTCAGCGACCTTTTCTGGCA